GGACGTGAAAATTATAGAGGAGGTGCTAGTACATTATTTGGTAATAAATCCTGAAGAAGTCCCCTTGTAATATTATCTGAAAATGGAAAAGCTGAATATACCCGAAATTCCTAGTCATGTAACAAATACCTTTGTCAAATTGGCAGAAGACATAGCCCACACTCTGAATGTATCAAATTGTTTTGTTTGTGGAGGAACTAACATGGGAGAAAAATGGCCATGGGAAGCTCAAGGAATTAAATTATTCTAAAATATTAGAAATGGATCAGAAAGGTAATCTGTCATATAATAAGGGTAAGGATGGGGACTGGACATTGACTACTAGTCTGGTAGGGAATGTGTGTTTTCAGGGAAGAATTGTGGCAGGCTGTCATCAGGTAGGAAACCTCATATGTACAGGAAAATGGGAAAGTAAGGTATGGTGGTCAGGAGGTAATGCCACAGAGGGAACTGATAAAAGGGCCCTGTTTAAGGTAAACGGGTTATCTTTTTTTAAAGGGTCCTGATAATCAGGCCCTTGAATGGCTGGCTCCTGATGGGCTATACTGGATATGTGGTAAAATGGCATATGGGGTTCTACCGAAATCTTGGTGTGGAGCTTGTGTCCTGGGAATAATTGGACCAGGATTCTTTTTGCTTCCCCTTAAAACTCGACAGGTTTTAGGTGTCTCGGTATATGATGAGGTGGGAAACTTAAGACAAAGAAGACATGTAGATACATCTGCAATAGGAAAAGTTAGGGTTGGAGGTAACCAACGTAGTTGGGGAAGTGGAGAATGGCCTGCAGAGTGAATTATTGAGGTTTATGGACCAGCTACATGGGCGGAAGATGGCATGTATGGCTATTGGACCCCTATATACATTCTGAACCGTTTAATTCGTCTGCAAGCAGTGGTTGAAATCATTACCAACGAAACTGAAAAGGGTCTTACTCAATTGGCTAGGGAGAGTGTCAAATCAAGGACATATCTTATGCAGAATGGGTTAGCCTTAGACTATTTGTTAGCCAAGGAAGGAGGGGTATGTGGAAAGTTTAATTTGACTAACTGCTGTATAGAGGTTGATGAAAGAGGAAAGGTTATTAAGGAAATAACAGACAAAATGGTTGAAATAGCTCATGTGCCAGTCCAGACTTGGAAAGGTCTTAATTTACAGGACATGTTTTCAGGATGGTGGCCAAGGTTACCTGGCCTGCAGGCCATTTTTGGCCTGGTGGGATTAGTGGCTACAGGGTGTATTTTTCTCCCATGTATTTTACCTCTGCTTGTTAACACTATTAAAAGTCTATCCTTGCTGGTGGAACGTAAGACAACTGCTCAGATGATGGCTATGTGGGATTACAAACGGCTCCAGCAGGAAGAGGACCTATGGTGTGACTCGTCTGGATAAACAGATGAGTCACAAAGGGGGGTATGAGCCAGGCTAAGATTCGATATTGGGATAAAACTCAAATATTAGAAATCCAAATCTTTGGTCAAGACAGAAGTGCCTCTTCCGTGCCAAGGTGCTGAGATGACAAACGGTATTTGACGTAGGTACAGAATTGTAAAAGGGCAAACTGACCCTAACCAGATACATTCTGTTGTTTAATGTTTATTGCATCCCAAATGTCATGCATATCCCTGGAAAAGGGGTGCTGCTTCCTTATTGCCTTTGAGGCGTCTTCTAGCCTCTTATCTCCTTTTGTTATGTCTTGAGCTCCGGAGCTGAAAACCTGAGCCTGTGGGAACAGGGCTGTTATGTCTTTCCTAGAGATAGATTAAAGGGTAGCTTCTACGTGTGAAATGCATCACTCTCTGTAATACTTTTGCCTTTAAACTGTATAAATACATGGCCAGAAGAAGCCATCGGCGTTCAGACCCTTAGCTGTCTTTGGACTGTTTGAACCTTGCGCAATAAACTCTTTCCTGCATTGAAGAGCTTGCTCTAGTCCGTTATTTTGTCTACAACACTGAGAGAATGGATCATGGAATTAATTGTGCCCATTCCAGGTTATCACAGGAGAAAGCTGACATAAACAAAACAAAACAAAACACAGTATTTCCAAATGAACTGTATTCAAATTAATAGTACAAGGTGGGCTGGGTTAAAATGTCACCATAAATGGGCAGATACTGTTGGCAGAAAGTACTTTGGATCGGCTACATAAGACTATTCATCTCTTTAAGACTGTATCATACTTAAGGTAAAATATTTAAATAAGTAGGTACACATACCTCAGGCAAAAGACCAGGGCATTACACCCCTTGACCATTTTCCTTATCAGACTCACTTTTATTGGACAATTTTTCACATAACCCCCCTCCCCCAAGGCCCTTTGCTTTGTTGGTCTTTCTGATGAACCTACCCAGGCTTCTGTGACTTCAGAACTTCTTGGCTATATTTATGTCATCATCATTTTAGCCACTGTCTATCCACTGCAGGATGAAGGCCTCTTCCACATATTTCCAACCAATACAGTCCTGAGCTCTCTTTTGCCAATTGGGCCTGCAATACTTGCTGATGTATTAATGTCATATTGGACTAAAAGGCTTTAAAAACTAGCTTGGCCATCATTAAAATACAGAATAAAATATTTAGGCCTTCATACACACCAATTTTTCCTGTAAAACTATTCTCCCATATCAGCTTTCTACACTGTGTTTTCCCCACGAATGTGATTGCTCTCCCTACTTGTCTCCTTGTTGAACTAAAGCTCTTTCTTCTTATAGCAGGTGGCCTCATGATTGGTTTTCTCTCTCACATTTGCTTCATATGTATTCTGGATTTCACGTCTCAAATATAGCTAGTTGACATGGAATCCCTCCTTAAAATGCTTTCTCCTGCAACGGGAACAATCCACTTCAGGCAAACTTTCTTTAAGAGGCCCAGTGAAGAACGCTCAAGACTGCAGAATAATGACTTTTTTTTAAATGAATCTGATAAAAGTACTTTTTCTTACAACCAAAAGGGCTCAGTCAATGTGGGAGATATGGCTACATCACTATATAATAATAGAATATTAGGCTATTGGTCTGAGATAGGAGGGCTCCTCTTACGTCGTTATATGCAGTATTAGCTGTGCAAAGGTTTGAAGCTGTCTGAAGATGAGCTATTCTAGCTCAACAACTGACCTTCTTCTTCTGCAGCAGCTTAATGAGCTACTACTTGACTTCTATGGATTGAAAAAGAACAAGCTATCCTAGGAAGGAGATGAAGAAGAGAATGTCCTCAGGCTGAAAATCCAAAAAGTATTATAGCTTGTATCTTGTTCACATCTAAATTATGCCTGGGGCAGAACACCATTAAACACAGAGACAACGGTGTATGTACTTTCATCACAAATGTTAGGGCAGCAGCCTCAAAGAGCCGTGTTTTATGCAGAATAAAACAGGAAGACATTCACTTTCATAAATGATTCATATAACAATTTTTTGAATCTTCAGTTGCATTACTGTTAATATAAACTTTCTCTCAGACCTGTGAATCCTTATCTTTCTATAATCCCTATGTCTTTGGGAGGGCGGGGAGAGATATTCCTGTTACTCTGAAGCATCCTAGATCTTTCTTTCCTAATTAAATGTCATATAATGTTTTATATCTGTATTTGGGAAAGGAGTGTACCAAGGTTGCATGCCATCACTATATTTCTTTAACTTATGTACAAAATACATCAGGAAAAATGCTGGATTAGAAGAAATAGAAATTGGAATTATAATTATAATTGCTGGGAAGAAAAATAACAACCTCAAATCTGCTGAGCATATCCTTTGATGGCTGGAAGTGAAGAAGACTCTTTTACTAAAGGTGAAAGAAGAGAACACAAAATCTACTCTACTGCTCAATATTAAAGTAAAAACAAAGCCAAAAACAAAACAAAGCTTATGTCAGCAATGCCAGCCCAATGAAAATAAAGGTGTTTCAAAGCTGTCAAAGAATTAACTCCCTTCAGTCATATTTCAAAATCTATGTACTACTAAAACTCTCATGTGGGTTTGATACGTTAAAAAATTTAATTGGGAAAAAACTGAGCATAGGGCAAATTTTGTCAACAAAGGTACCTCAAATGGACAAACTTAGAGAATTATCATACTTGATAAATTGGTTGCTACTTAAGTGACATAGCACAGCTCCTGCTGTCAGGTGATTGCAGATGTTCTTCATTTTCAATGTTTCCTGAGAGCTTCCCAAAAGTCAATGGAGAACCAGGAAGGAACTGATATGATAGATGACACTCCTTGTCATCTTCCCACTAGCGTAGCCATTGCTTGTGGGAAACTCATAGGGTGAAGGTCAATGGAAAAATGGCACATCCTCCACCAGTTCTCTGAACTCGAAACGTGCTGGACATTTGCACACTCCTTTGTTCCCTCATCTGATTCAAAGTAATAATCACATTATCTCTGATTTCAGCTAATCAGGGTTTCAGAGAACTGTGTCATTCAACATTGAGAAACTTCTACCAGAAAGTAAAGGCTGTTTTATAGAACACAAGACCCAATCCATTAGATATTGACAGTTTTATAATAGAAATAGAAATGCATTTACTGTGCTATTTTTCACTTGTTCGTGGTATTCAAATGTTCATGTTCAACAATGTTTTAAAACTGTATTAAAAGTACATTATACTTGTAAATATCAAATATAATTTGATATTATATAATGTAGATCAACTTACTTCTCTGATAGACACATACAATCTCTCTCTCTCTCATCATAAACAGTATCTCCATATTATATGAAAAGTTGAGGATTATTGCCTGGCTGAAGCTATTCTACAAATTCTTTAGAATTCAATCTCATTTGTAGAAGCTATTCTATAAATTCTTTAGCATTAAATCTCTACAGCTTTAGGTCCCTGCTTTTTTTTTTTACTGTGTTATTAAAAGAAAGGAGCCAATACACATTCCATATGCATTTGATTTGTTGATTACTAGATTAGGAAGCTAATTCTAAAATAATACTTTAGGATTATTTCATCATTGGAAAACATAGAACAGTGACAGGAACAAATGTATTACCTGCACATTTGGTTCGGGTAATCAGTGGAGGGCCTGGCTGACCTGTGCCACCTTCTCCAGGCCTTGTTAGAAGAACACGAATCTCATACTCTGTGTCTGGGTCCAAATGCCACAGCTTATATGTCGGTGCATTGACAGCATGCGTTTCTGTCCAAGTCCCTGTTGTCATATGGTATTCCACCTCTTTTAGGATAATAGGTCCATCCCCAATAATGGAATTTGCATTCAGCTGAATGAGCAGATAGGTTGGTCCAACGCCAAGCAACTGTGGGGGAGCTATTGGCCTAGGAGGTTCTGTAAGATAGAACAAAAGCCAACTGAGTGAGAAAGATAATAAAACAGTAAGATAGTAAGCAAAAATCAAGTCAGAGATCAGAATCATAAAGATTGCACAATAACTATCATTCTAAGTAAATGGATGAATATTTAAACATAGCTTAGAAAGATTATTTATTGATTTATTTGATTTCTAAAGCCATCCTTCTCAGCAAGTGACTCTTATTGTTCTTAGTCAATAATATATAGACATATATCTGTATATGTGTGTATAGATAAACACACATATAAAAGTCAAAAATAAAATACAATCTCTGATTTCCTGCAAATGAGTAGCAATATTTTTTAAAAAGTGAGATTTATTAATGGAAAAATTAAGGAAACACATAAATTCCTAAATAGAATGAACCCAATAAGAGGCTTCATTTTTCATTACAAACATTTTCCAATTTAATTACGCCTAAAGCTAAAGTCAAGGTAAATAGGGCTTTCTCATTCGGATGGACTAGAGCAAAGCAAGTTCCAAAGCTGAAGAATTAACTAAGCAAAATGCCTATCCTACAACAAGTATTACAAACAATTTCCCGAGTCTGTTCTTTCTCTTAGAAAAAAGAGAATGCCATGGAACATTAGGTAGCTGTTTTATTTTATGTGAAAATATCATGGAACATTAAATAGTTGTTTTCTACAATATTAAAAAAGGAGTTCAAATGCTGCCTTGTGAAATCCACCGTGTCAGAGTAAAGCATCAAATTAGATGCTTTCTTTTTCCTGTAGATTAAATTCCTCAAAGTTTCATAGCTGCCTGGCCACCATTTACACTATATATTGTTTCAGATAATGACAATTACAAAGTATGTATGTCTCTAGATTTTTAATACCTAGCATATTATCTCTTAACATCCCATATGATTTCAATGACAATTTTCCACTACTGTTGTGAACAAGTTATTTTATTTGTTTACTATCGGCACATGATTAAGAGGACTTTTGCCAAATTCAGCTTCGGTACCAATTGTACTCATTCCTTGATCGTAAAATCCTAATACCTACTTTATCAGACAGGGTTGGCATGTTCTGGTCCCTATTATTTAAGTAATGTCATCCGTTAAGACCTGGGAAGCGTGCTTCTGTTAGCACTACACTAGATAACATTATCTTCAAACATCAAAACAACACCTCTATACATGGATAACATCAGATGGAACACATAGAAATCAAATTGACTACATCATTGCTGAAAGAAGGCGAAATAACTTGATTATAGCATCAAAGATATGACTACATACTGACTGTGGAACAGATCATGAAATATTCATGTGAAGTTCCAAGTTAAGCTAAAGAAGAAGAAAGCCAACCAATTTCTATGATATGATCCTGAATCCCATTATTTTCAAGGAGAGTTTCAGGAATCACTTTAAAGACCTGAACCTCATTGATAGAAAACCAAAGGAATTATGGGATAAACATAAATAAAGTATTAAGGATTGATTTGTTGAGAGATTGCCAAAGATGAAGAAATAGAAGAAAGCAAACTCTCTTCCTGTATTTTCTCTCCCATCCACCTCTTCCTTCCTCCCTATTTTTCCCTTCCTCTCTCCTTCCCTTCCCTTTCCAGCAGATAGATAAATGACTGGTGTTAGGTTGGGAAGGACACAAAGGATTGTGAGACTGGCTGGAAACTGTCACAAGGTACTGAAAATGAAAATCATGTGAGTACAGCAGTAGCCCAGCAGCACTGCAACAGCCAATAGCATTGAAGCAAAGTTTCCCAACTTTCTCAAATTTCACTCCATTGGAAATCATGGCTCCCAGATTTTGGATACATTCTGTATCCAAATATCTTGGTTAAAAAATTGCTGCCCAATGCACTCTTTTGCTCAGGTAAGGGTTAGGATGAGAGTTTTAGTACTATTGAGGAATAGTATTATAGCTACAGGTGACAAACAAATTAGCAATCTTTTTTTGCCAGGCTATATTAATCACCCTATAATCTAGTATTTTATGAAGAATAACAGATTGCTTATCTGATAAAAGATAAGAAGCATAAAAATCACCTGGATGTAGAGTTAAAGCTGCTAAACCTGCAGCTAAATTATATCTCCACTCTGAAGAAATATGAGTATGTCATCTGCAAACAGATTAATTACAAGATGCTTTGTTTTTATATTAGGATAAATATTTTAGCTGTTCAGAATATTCTGTGTTAACCCTTCTATAATGAGATCAAACAAAACAGAAATAAGGTTCCATATTTGTTAGGTGGATTTGTTAAGAGAAAAATTTCTATCCATTAATGCTATTTGCTGTTCAGGAATATACACAATTAATTATGCAAATGAACATAATACTTAAATCCCCTTTCCAATAACAATTTTTCAAGAAATGTAATTTCATTTCTATCAAATACTTCAAAATATCTAAAGGCTTCAGAATGGAGTGTTAATATATTTGGCATAATTTATTACACTGAATTGAAACTGGAGTCTTCTAAATCTTATTTGGGTTAGGAAGAATCAGAGGTCTTTGCCTTCGATGGAAAAAAACCTGTGCCATTTTGTAAGAAATTCACTGCAAATAGATGAAGACTTTCTTGCAATGAAATACAAGGATGCTTACATTTTGCTTTAGGCTTGGCGTTCTGGTTTATTAGTATTATGAGAACAATTATTAAATGCATGTTATGAAAAATCTAATGTTTTGGTCAAACAAGTTAGTAAGGGGTGTGACCAATGGAGCCAAATGAGGAATGAACTTGGCCTAGGCAATAATCATTACTGTGGGTTCCTTGATTAATTAATTGGTGCTGACTGATTGATAAGAGCCAGTATCAGTGGTGAAATTCAAATTTTTTTACTACCGGTTCTGTGGGCGTGGCTTGGTGGGCGTGGCAGGGAAAGGATACTGCAAAATCTCCATTCCGTCCCCACTCCTGGGGGGAAAATATTGCAAAATCTCCATTCCGACCCCACTCTGGGGCCAACCAGAGGTGGTATTTGCTGGTTCTCCGAACTGCTCAAAATTTATGCTACCGGTACTCCAGAACCTGTCAGAACCTGCTGAATTTCACCCCTGGCCAGTATGTGTGTTGAGGTTAAGATGTTGGAGTCGAGAGACCCAAGTTCTAGTCCTCCTTCACCTCATTTAATGCCTCTGGGCAAATCATTGTCTCTGATTGGCCTCTTAGAATAGTGATAGTGGAAGAGTGAAAGAAGAAAAAAAGAAACACAGAGAATGAATGAATGAATGAATGAATGAATGAATGAATGAATAAATAAATAAATAGTGCCTCCCCCCAATCATTCTTATTTCATTTGATAAAAGAAATTGCTGTTTTTCAAATAAAAAGATTTCAGAAAAATTCACATGAAAGCAGGGCTCTTAAATCTACTTTTATTCAAAGGTGGTCAAGGACTTTAGGATTTGTGTGTTCATATGTGAATGAGGAACAGAGTGAGGCAGAGAGACAATTTTCCCCTTGTATCATCCTCTTTCTGCAGTATTTCTGGCTCTCAAATAATCGGAAGGGATTGCCTTCTATGGGTTTTTTTCACAGAACACACACAATTTTTCACTGCCTATCAATTTCATCAATTCAAAGACAACAACAAAAGGAAGAGAAAAAACCTAGGGGGGAATGTAAGAATTGATTACACATATGAGGAAGTATAGTAATAAACTGGCTATTCATCAAATTTATCGATCAGAATTTTCTATTGAAATTGAACTGAAACAGTAGGCTGAAATTCCAGAAAAACAGAGAAAATGGGAAGAATAAAAACTCATTTCTTTCCCTCAGATCATATAGTTTATTGAAGAGAAAGCTTAATATACTTATTATTATAATATAAACTCATGTTTCAAAAAACACGATTTTCATATGATTCTTTAATGCTTCCTATTCCTGAGAGTACATACTCTCATTTCCCATGCCCATTTTAATTTGCTCCATTTTGAAGAGTACCGTATATAAAGTTCAGAAGTTAGGCTTTTAAAAATGTTAATATTGATTTTTAAAAATGATAATATTGAATCTTATGGAAAAAGCTGTGAATTAGCAAAGCTAATACATTGCTACATACAGGTTTTTTCCTTAGGCTGAAAGCAAAGCGTATACACAGTTGTATATACATTTATTTTCAGCTTCCTGAAGGCGTTTATAAAGGGATGCATGATAAAATCCCTTCATGTACCCATAAATTATACATTATTTTTTAACTAGTTATCAAATTAATCAGCAATTGTTTTGCAGCATCATTAATATTCTTCACAACAGAATGTACTGTCAGAGCCAGAGGAATGGTGCAGCTTCCCAAAGTATACTAAATGACATGGAGTCCCAACGTACCAGATAAATTTTTGGTTACCTAATTAACTTTGGTCTTAATGAATCTCATTCCTTATTCTACAACTAGAACGATCAAATATTCCCTAATTGCCATTTCAGTGCTACAGAGATTACTTCTAGGCTGCAAGTAATCTGTAAACTTTTTGCATCAAGATTAGGGGCTAAAATACAGATGGCCCCAAATTAGTTTCATGCTGGATTATTTTTCAGATGGCTACATAACAACTTAAGGATAGGTTTGAATAATGAGATAAGAGACTCAACTTCAACTTTTACTTTGTTATTCAAGGACTGATGGTATAATTAAAAATTCCATATTAATTTCTGAAATTATATATGACGAGATGGAAGCAAGGAGGGATATGAATGTATCACAAATCAAACTAGTGATCAAGGACATCAGTATGGTTTAGACAGAAATGTTGGGGTAGGTTAACTTAGTTTGTTGATACTTGGGTTAAAATTGACAAGCTTACAAAGGAAGACAAAGCTTGGTCAGCAGGAATTTGTAGAAACACTAATATGCTTTTAATACCGTGCTTTTAATAATATGCTTTTAATAATATGCTTTTAATACCGTGTTTCCCTGAAAATAAGACCCTATCTTATTTTTTTTTTTGAACCCTGAAATAAGTGCTTGGCCTTATTGCCATGCACTCAAAAGCCTGAT